AAAATATTTTTTTTCCACCCATTTTCCACCCTTACAATCAAACGGACCATAATTAACAATCAATAGTTCATCTTCGTAATAGAGTAGTAGCCACATACAGTTGGTTGAAATGTGTTTTAAAATAGCATTCAGTAAACAAATAAGCTTGCCTTCTAATTGCTATCCATTTGAAGATGAAGGAACAATGTCTAATTTATTACAACACTTTTTAAATTCTTTTGTTATTCTCAGTGAAATCAAACCGCATCCTGGGCTTACATTCCTCCTAGGTCCATCAAATATTGCACTAAGCATTCTTGTTGAGTTGAGAGTTTTACCTTCATCTTTAAATAAACAAAAAGAAAAGAAAATATTTTTTAAAAATAAATAAATAAAAAATCTCTTTCTCCTCAAGTTACAGCGAGTTTTTAAGCGATCTTTGTCAATTTGATTCATTTTGCTGTTGTTTGATCTCTATTATTTTTAAAATACATTTTTCGTCTCTTATATTCAACCACATATTGTTCAATAAAATAATATTACAAGTAAATCAAAAACTTTCCTTTATTTTTTCTATCAAATCACTATTCCAAAATGTATTTTTGTCAAAATATGATGCTCAAACAGGCTCTTTATGTGTCTCATAATAACTTTTATATTATTTTTTAACCAATTTTTTTTTTTTAAAAGACTGATAGCCTAACATGAACAAGAATCTGGTCAACCTCGCAGAATATTTAGGCGAATTAGGTTGAGGATAAATTTCCACGTGTTTGGTCCAATTTGATTTGCCCGTTAAAATAATAATTATGTATTTTTCTTTTCAATTATGTTGAGAATTAACAAGAAAATTATGACGACACGTTTATAAAGGTAGACCGAGCATTATGACACGAAACTAAGGAAAAATAGAAGGTTAAAAATCTAGATAATTGTATATTCATTTCTATATAGTATATTAAATATACTTTTATGGTATGTTTGAGTTGCACAATTGAAGATGCTCGAAATAATAATGAAAAAAAAGAGTCCAATTTTATATATTATATTGTAAAATGCAACCTCATTCAATGTGCCTAACTTATCATAGTAGTTTCCACATGGGTTGCAGGATAGAGTCGTGCAAACGACCCACTTGTTGAAATTTCAGATTAAAACTAACTTAGGGTCTGTATGATATGGATTAAAATCTGATTTTAATTTAAATAAAAGTCTAACAATCAATATCCACATTTTTTCAACCACACATTTAAAAAACTCCTATCACAATCTACTAAAAATCTAATTTTAATTCTCACCAAACATTCTTTTAGATGGGTTTGGGTGGCTCACGTAATACGTGGACCACCCCTCTGGTGAAGCTTAGCAACCCATGAGAACCAGTTATAGGAATGGTTTCTTACTCAAATGTTCTAAATTATATATTTAATTTTTAAAAGGGAAAATTGCGGCCGTGGTCCCAAACCTTTCATTTTGTTGCAAATTACATCCAAACCTTTTATTTTTGCAGTCGAAATCACAAACCTTTATATGTAGTTGCAGGGTCGGTCTCAATCCTTTAATTCCGTCCATAAAATCGTCGGTCAACGTTTCAACAGTAATTTTGACTCGAAAAAATTGCAACGCTGGTCCCAAACCTTTCATTTTGTTTCAAATTACACTAAAACCTTTAATTTTTGCAGTCAAAGTCCCAAACCTTTATATATAATATAATTACTGCATTGGTCCATTTCACGCATTCCGTCCATAAAATCGTCAGTCAACGTTCAAACAATAATTTTAATTCAAATGACATCTTAATTGATAGGTAAAATTGTCAAAACAAGTTATAAAAAAAATGTTTGTTTTTTTCAAATCCTTCAATCTTTTCACAGACATCACATTCTCATCATCGATAACTATCTGATCAGATAACAATTCGATCCGATTTGTCATAATAATCAAATCGATAAATTATTTTTATGACATGTTATTTATCACTAAAATAAATAAATGAGAAAATAAAAATAAATAAACTACATTTGGTACTATAATTTATATGTATTATTAAATAATTTTT